TAAAATTAGAGCCATTGTGAAAGAAAGAAGAGAGAAACACTACAACGAGTACTCGGATCGAATTCATTTTGATTAAATTTTACTTTTACGGATGTTGTTCATTAGGCCAAATGTTAATCCGAATTAATATAATAAATGCCAAAGGGAGAGTGTTTGTTTGAGACTTTGCACAAAAATACCACAGAATCAATTTTCATTAACTTTTTGTGGCAAAAATATTACTAATAAGAAGAAAAATAAGAAATTATAATTATCATTGTGATTTAATTATAGTTATAATTAAATAATCAAAACCAAGATGGTGTAACAGTGACTTATTAGCATTTTGTTTTTTAATTTTAAGCAAACATCTTATTGGCAGATTGGGAACACAATAGCTGCAAGGAACAAGGAAGTAATTATTCGGTTACTTTTTATTAAAATCTTCTTAGAAGAAGTCGCGGTAAAAGGCAAAAGCTGGTTGATAATATATTTCCGCGCCCATTGTTTTATTATTCAGGAAATAATTTGTTTGGTTTCTTCTTACTATATAGAAAATTACTTAAACTCAAGAAGTTCTATTAATTTTGTGCATTTATTTTTTGAATCATGTTACAGAATAAAAAATACCTACCAAATTATTATTTTTTATTTTGTTGTATATGAAAACATAAATTTTATTATCCTGCAAATTGCAAAATATTTCAGTTCTTTGTTTTTCAACCTTGAAACACGCATAACTTTAATATATCCGCCTACCTCATTGCGGGTTCATCGAGTGAAAAACTCCTGTTTACGGCTTAACTTGCAAACTACATTCAATCATATTTAATTAATTCGCACGTCGGGAACATGCTAAATTTTGCCATGTGGCGTATTTCCTCCGCAGCACGTTTTTCACACTTGCTTAGACCTTGGTTAAATCATAAATATTTTCCACTAGATAAAGTTGGAGTTGAACTTCCAGCTATAAACAACATATTAATTCCTGAGTCCGGAAATATTTTTTAATGTTTTGGAAGAGATTGTATCCTGTTTATAAACAATACTAGACCTTAAATAATTATATTGATAATCAACTTTTTGAAAATAATGTGATTTTCACTTATTTGACTCTTTAATCGCCTATAATAAAACGGTAAATAAAAATATAATTAGATTTGTATTGAGGCCGTATACATTTGGTTTGATTTTTATTGTTTTGTAATAATTACACATTACATTTACACAATTAATTTTACATCAAGATTGGTATCAACTTAATAAATTTTACAAAACACTAATTTAATGAGAACATCAAAAACTTCAAATATAAAATTTGATTAATTTTTACTTACGTATCACTCGTTATATATAATATAAACTTTACTGAGCAAATAATTTGTTTATATTTAATTATGCTTTTTAATTATGTTTATTTTGTCTTGAGTTAACTGCGCACCAGATTGCAGAATCATCAATTTGCCACTTATGTAAACTACTAAACTTTATTTGCCCCCAAATTTACTCTCCTCTGCTATCTCATTCAATATTCTACGACTTAAGACTCTCCACTTATCACGCCTCAAAGACAAAAAGAAAACATCAAACTTCCAAAGTATGTAAATGGCAATATTCAAATATTCAAGTTTTTCCATAGTTTGAAAGTAATATCACACTTAATAAACCATTTTCCATTCAGGTCGAAAATAATTCCTCAAGGAGTCGAAAAACTTCTCAAGTCGTAAAATTCCGTAAGAATGCAGCGGAAAACGTCGAAATTTCTTCAACTTTACGATCGAGCTAACAAAAATGAACAGAACTCAAAGAAACGTGCATAGCACTCTTAAAAATTCCTTTTCCCAGAAAGAAAAAGTAACTTGTTGTCAAACAAAAACAGAAAAATCATCATCATCGCTTGTAATTAATTTTAGACGTAGTTTTTATACGGTATAAGTTAGAAGTTGATAAAATTATTGACATTATCATACAACTTTCAGCATTACCAAAACTTTACTCAAGTTAACTTTACTCAAAGTTAAAGATGATAAATTCGTCGAAAACTTTACTAAGATTCATGAATAAGTAGAAATCTATTAATCTTACTTTCATTAGCAAAATGTTTCGGAAAGTATCGGGTTTTATAGCCGGATTGCCATTAAAATTTTTATGTTCATCGCAGCAGATGTCCAGATAATTTCCCCAAATACGAATAATTAAACAACTAAGCCCACAAATAAAAAGCAAGAATAAATATCTAAATAAAAAAATACGAGGCGAGGTGAAGATAGATGCTATGAATGCGTACTATAATATTAATGCGTATTTTACGCTTGAAAAATAGCGAGAACTCTCCAGAGTCCTCGGACATAAATATTTTTATGAGATGTCATCTGCTCGCCGCGCGAAGATAACAAGATAACGACTATTTTAGCGCCTTCAACATTCGTTTTTCTTTTACTTTTATTTTATCAAAAAAAAACAGGGAAATAAAAAAAATTGATTTTATGGGAAATCGGTTGTATTGCTTTGTGTTCCTGTCAGGAATCGGCAGGACGACTTCAAGGATGCATTGTGTGCGTGTGGGCGCGTGATTTTGCGCGCTGTAGGTCATTAATCAATTCTATTACATCCAGGCGCGCCATTGCGCAGAGCGTTAACAACTGTATTAGTTACGTTACAACGAACAATAACAATATCCTTGAAGCTTTAAGCGCCTCGTCACGTAGCGTTTGTTTGACTTGTGGGATTTGAGGGAATTGTAGATATTGCTAAAATCCTCAAGAAGGAGCTTATCTTAAATAGCGTTACAATTGTTTGTATAATTAATTCTTGCGTAATCTCGGAAAAGTGTATAAAAGCACAAAAAGTTAATTAATGCGTTATAAGTCAATAATGGGCATAAGTATTAATGAAAATTGTTTTGTAATATTTGGTAATATAGTAGGTTTTTTAAAAAAATTGAATTTATTTTCAATTTCTTGTTTTTTGAACCTTGAATTTGTTGATTTTATCAATAAAATTCGTAATTATATTTTAAATAAAATCTCATTCAATGCTAATAATGCATTTAGCGCCATCTAAGATTTAATTATTTAACTATAACTATAATTGAATCTCTATACAAACTTTCATCCGTCATTTAACACTTTTTAAGTTATGGTTTTCAATATTTTAGTAGTTACTCTGCTATTTGGAGCAAAGATAAATCCAACAAATCATAGGTCATCCAAATCTGTCCTGCTGATCTTGAGTTATAAGTGCTTTAACTAACACAAAGTCCTACATACGAAAAAAAAAGATTTATCAATTCCATGATTTAAATTATTAATTAAATTACCTAAACATACAAATAACACTAATAATATGTGATAAAAACTGTTGATTTGTTGATTTGTGAAGAATTTAAATCATTTGTGTTCAAAACCCAAAAATGCGTATTTTCATAAATCTTTATCACGACATTGATTTACTGACACCTACATAAAATACCACTCACCGAAAAAGCAGCATTCAAAAAACGGTATAAAATCGCATTAAATTGTAGCTGGATATGTAGTTGTTGAGCACTATAAATATAATGCGCACGCATGAGTAGAAACGTGTACCTGCGTAAAATATTCAACCAGAACGTGAAAAATCGCCGCCGCTGCCCTGTGCACTGATAGTGGCGGTGGCGGTGGCGGTATCATCAATATAAATCTTAATTGCAATAAGTGCAAATTGCATATTCACGGATGCACGATGCACAATGGACAACGCCGTCAGGCGTTGATTAATGCGGCGGTGCGCTCTCGACGCGCTAGTAATTTATTAACAAATGTACGAGTGAGTGTTGTCACGCCAGCAGTGGTGTGTGAAACTTGTGAAAGTGTTGAAAAGGGTGTCAGGCTGTGCAAAGCTTTTCCATTCAATTGGAAGCGTATGTTTTAAAGTGTAAGGAGCTAAATTGTGGAGGAGATAGTGTAATTGTATGGTTTTTAGTTAATTATGTCCGAGGTAATCATGTTAAGTTAATTCTGCAAAACAATTTGATTCTAACTTGTAATTAGACTATGTCAATATTATAACGATTAATTGTAGTGAATTTGAAGGAATGAAATGAAACAAATTAATTTTATTAGTACGGACGGTCAAGACAGTGATTAAAGTACTTTAGTCACGAGTTTTAGTCATGGGGTGGAGCGTACAATTACACAAATAAAATAACTTTGAAAAAAAAAATAAATTTCAAAATTAAAATCGCGTAGAATTACATTTTATATAATTGCCTCCCACTTTCACATAAATCAATAACCGAAACGATACTTACCAACCTAATTATTACTTTGAGTTGACACGTGTTTTCAAGTACTTTCAAAGATAATATTATCACATTCAGCTGTGTGCCAATTCACCAATTTCACTCCACTTGTCTGGTTTCAACATCTGTACAAACATAAACTTTTAAGTTGAAATTATGTATGCAAATTTGTTTGCAAATACTCTTATCACTCGCTCAAGTATTGTCCCACTGGATGTTTTTGTCGCATATCTTCATAATCGTTGAGTAATCAAGCAAACGTGCCAATTAATTAAATAAACTTTCGGTGGGCTTAATCTCAACCAAAACAAAAACTTTCAATTTGCAAACTTCGTATTCGTAAATTTGTTGTAAATTTAATTAAATCACAAAGGATCATAACAAAAACACGGTGCGTTTGATTGGTTAATTAATATTAGTAAATTCAGAGAATATCTTGATAGTTTAGGACGAAATTATGTATTAACTAGGGGTAATATGTGATATGTTTTGTTGAAGTAAATTTGATTAAAACTCGAAAATTTGCGAATAGAGAAAACAATTAATTAAATATTAAACTTCCAGGAAAACAATAACTTGATTATTATAGTTTAAAGAGCCATATTTTGAACTCGCATTAATTTAAATGGAATAATTAGCTCATTGGGCTTTATTTATATTAAAGTGGAAACTGAAGTTGAATGCAAATGCAAATTTTAATTAATATATTTTAATAATCACACAGAAACAATTATCCAAAACCATTTAAAAGCATTTTATTGCAAAAGTTATCTTCGGATGTTTCAAAACAATAGTAAATAATTGTCATATTTTACTGAGTTTTAAAGGAAATCATGCAACATTCGAATCTTTAGTTTTAACTGAAAAACCACAATATCACGAACTTAATTACAAAATGAATTAAATTTTGCTTATGTTATACCTGGTGTCTTTGTACGATTCAATCAGTGATCCTAAATTTTCAAGAAGACACGCATATTTTGGTTTCAATTTAGTCAGATCCACAGGTTTACCAGGCTGCTGATTCTCTTGAGATTTTGCTTGTTCCATATAACTTTTAATCATCTTCGAAATTTTGTGATATATCTTAGGTTTCTGTTCAGTCATCCATCGAAAGTCGAAATCAATTTTATGCGGTTTTCGATATTGCGGTGGTCTAGGTATTCGCCATGACTCCAGGCAGAAAGAATCATCAGCTGCCAACTCGGCCATTAATTTATCTGCTTCACTGGAGTAAATATTCTCTTCTTCTTTTGGTGATTTACGAGTAACTCGGTTGGTATTTGTATTGATTGGAAATTCAGTCAGCGGATCATCGTCGTTAAGGTATTCGTATGGACTCGGGCCATATCCAAGAGGTACACCGAAGATGACATCTTCTTCGTCGTCCGATGAACGAAAGTTATAAATTTCTATTTCTTCATTTTCAGCGCGGTGCATTTTGTTATCAAATGTTAAAAAATGTAAATCAGCATACATATTACCTCACGTTTATTATTACAATGATTTGGATAAACGAATCTAAAAGATCAAGTCAACAACTCACAAAACAATTGATAGGATATAGACAAGGGTATCTACGATCTAATTTAAATCATTCTAACCATACTATTGTATTAACTTTCCACAAAATTCAAGATTGCAAGGCTTCTACACTTTACTTATTTTGTAATGCAGGAAATGTATACACTAGTAAATGTCTTAAATAGTCTTTCCCGTCGTTTTCGCAATCTCTCAGCTCGTAAACCTGCATTAGAATTTCTTTTTTTTTTACGTATATTAGAGGAAATATAGTTGGGTGATAAGATTCATTGAGTGGATTGTTAGATTTTTCACCCCCAACAAAATGTGCACTGCAAATTCTGGAATTTTTTCCAGGCTGCCACGGTTTTCCATCACTCCTGCAATCAGAGATTTACTTATAAAATTGTGACAATAATTAAAATTATTTGTTTGCTATTAAAATTGAATAATCATGTTTAGTTAAAAAGCCCTAAATATCTGTTAAACGTTGGAGTTAACCTTTAAAAAAATATTTTCGGTAGGAAAACTACTTAAATATTCACTTTTGTCGTTAAAATTGTGAATAAATCTAATTCTTTTTATAATATGAAAATATTTATTATTATAAATTTGAAGATTAATTCCCACAAACAAAAAACTACTTACATTTCTCGACGTACTGCTGCAATCCACTTCTTTTTTCTTTCCAATTCGTGAGAATATCCAGGAAAACGGTGAAATTGCAGTTCTAGATTTTTCCTTTGAGTTTTTTTACAGTCGACAACGCAACAAGCACGAGTTGATACTTTTTTATCCATTTTGCAAAATTATTAGTTCACTTGCAATTACATATATAGGTATATAACATATGGTACTCAAGGTTTCAGATCACTCACTATTTAAGAAATAAGCCACGAGGCGGCGCAAAGGTAGATTCTTTACTAGCGTATATAACGCTTCTCTGTACATAAAAAACATTTAGAAAATAAAAATTCTTCAACATACAGATTACTGCACCTTAGAATGCTTCACTTAAAACAACATTCCACGACCTACTTCCCCACATCATATATATCCTCATATGAAACTAAAAATAACCCTGCAAAGAACCCTTCAACAGGATGACGGTTTGACGCAGAAACAAACCTAAAATGTGCTACTGTCAGCGATCAGCAGGTAAAAATAAGCCTACTCAAAGAAAGACTTTCAAAAAGAAAGCAAACGAAATGAAAAAGAAATGAAAAAGTGTCAGCACGTCTGCAGGATATTGCTAAATTTATGCACATGTGATGTAATATAAAAAAAGTGTCACAAAGACTCACAAGATCAGAATCTAGAACTACGCATCGCCAGCGAGCAAAACCAAGGAACAAAACGAACATAAGAATGAGCATGAGAATGAAGAAAATGCGGATGAAAAATTGAAAATAAAGATAATAATAAAAAAGTGTGATGAATGGTGTAATTTTTTATACATTCTGCACATACATCAGGCGGCAACATATTTTTAGAGAGAAAATAAACGGAGAAACAGTTGTACGTAGCCAAATTTATTTCTTTAGATATTTACTATTGACAATTTTTTTTTGCAATGGTCATAATTTATGTTGTGAAAATAATCAATAAAAAGCAACAGTAAAATCTTTTAAATAGTATATTAAGTATTAAGAATTGGTTAAACGAGAGTTTTGTCACGAGATTTATAAAGATCGATTGTAGCAAGCGTTTAATCAATCGAGTGTTTAATAAGGTTTAGCCACGTGATGCTACCGCTATTTTTCTACTTCCACTCTAATTCCACGTTTAGGTTTATGTATTTTAACTTTGCGCAGGCGTAAGCTCCACCCCGTGACTAAAGCCTGTGCGTAATGTACTTTAGTCACGGCCTTAGCCATCCGCGTATAAAGTACCGCTTTTTGTGTCTCAAAACCGTGAAAAAATGGGCGCTTTAAAGATGGAAATAGAAATTATAAATAATAATAAATAAAACATTTTTGCAAAAATTGTTGTTTTAGTTTATAAAAATAACAATTTGAATTCTGTCAATAACAGTAATGGTGTAGTGTTGTGTAAACAAAGCTATACTAAAATAAAATACTGTTACATTGCCCGTAACTGACGCTTCTCGCTACATCTGATTACACCCGCTCGGGGAAGTGACGTCAGTTTTGAGTAGTCTGCTCTGATTATCATTTTTCAGCATCAACAATATACAGAATAAAAATAGAAATACTTGTTCCACATCCCACGTGCGATGTTTCAGTAAATAAATAGGAACATAATTTTGGTGATATTCAGCTACAATTATGCTTATTATACACAAAAATAGAATTATAATTAGCAGGATAAATTAATTAGTGTGGATACCCTTAGCTGAATAAATATTCTTTTGTGCCTGAAAGGATCATGTATCTTTTATGTAAAACATCAACGGTGAAACGTGAATAATTCAAATCAGAAAGTAACATGTTCCCGGCGAACACAAAATGCATGTTGGTTTAGGCGTGTTTTTGTTTATCCCTTCGGCTACGGAGTGTCTCTTGTCATTACAAATACTCATCAGCACAAAATATAACGCAAACAAAGGCGTATTACTAGAGCTAATATTAATTTCAGATTTTATACTATGATTACATTCCTAACTCATAAACTACTTCTTTAATATAACACTAGCCTTATCAATAGATTCACAATTTTATTTTAAAGAAATTAATTATATAAAGAATTTCTAATAATGCACTTTAGTGCGTCATCTTGGATTCAACTTAACTATAACTACGATTGAATCTCAATGCCAACTTTTATCCCATCGAAAAAGGCTGTCTTTAGGGTTTTCTCGACAATTATTCGAATAAAACCATCCTTGGACTTTAACAAACATTTTAAAAAAAGAATTGGCTAAATTGGTCCAGGCGTTGTTGAGTTATGCGCTTACCAACAGATTTTACAATTCATTTTGATATTATAGATAAAATATTTTCTAAAATTTCACTTTCATTTTCACAATACTAAATGAAATTAATGCTTGTTTCATGTTTTATGTTTCAGGAAGCCATAAAAACAACTTTCACCCACACAGAATCCACCAGCTAGCAACAATGCAGAATACTTCGGTGCTAACGACCGGCGCCTCCACCATTCCCACAATTCCCACCATATCGCCTGACTTTGCGGATGCTACCAACGACACGTATTTACAACACCTGCTCGAAACCGCAAACGGTACTCTACTGCCCGTAGGCGTTGAGAATTCGATAATAGATCGCGATGAACAACTAGCCCGGATAGAAATAGCTACGTTATCTGTAATATTTTTTGTAACTGTGCTCGGAAACACAACGGTGTTACTTGCACTATGGACACGTCGTAGATATGCGGGTAGAAAGAAATTATCCCGGATGTATTTCTTTATTTTGCATTTGAGCATTGCGGATTTGATCACGGCGTTTCTGAGTGACTTGCCGCAGTTGGGTTGGGAGGTAACCTATCGGTTTGTGGGTGGTGCTGTATTGTGTAAGCTAGTGAAGTTCGGACAGACGTTAGGACCCTATTTGAGTTCGTATGTGTTAATGGCCACTGCAATAGACCGACATCAAGCGATTTGTTATCCTTTGACGTACTGCTCGTGGACTTCCAGGCGCTCAAAGGTTATGGTTTGGATTGCTTGGGCTGCCAGTCTTACATTTTGCATTCCACAGGTAGGCAACCCATTTTACATTATTATATAATATTTTTAGCTACTTGTTATGGAATTATGCTGTTGAATTTTAAATATTTTTTATCGTTTTGTACTCGTTAGGGAATTTTGTTGGCATTGTGACGGTAACAGTCCGTTGGATATATTTTTTGGTAAGCTGCGAAGCGTTAAGGACTTCCGTACACGGAGCGGAAAAACAAGGGCAAAAACATTTATCCCTTCAGTAAATAAAGCGGCGATGAACGGTTATTGCGTGCACGCTACATAAATATGAGTAATGGTCGGAGTTGAAGCTCGGGTTGCGCTGAAAACCGGACGGATTGCGGTGCATTACCATTAGCGCCCTCTTTAATGACATCGTGTTTCATTGTTGAGTGTGTTAAGCGTTTCTTTATAAGATTAATAAGCCACGGGGGTAAAAATAAAATGGAAAATATTTTTAAAATTATATTTTTAATGCAGCATCTGTTATTTTATTTTTCATTTGCAACATCTGGTGAAACTTTTAGTTTATCTTCCGAGTTAAAAATTATTTAACATTATTATAATTTATTATTTAACTTGGAACATAAAATGAAAGTTTTACATCACGTATCAAATGAAAAACAATAAAATATGTTCATATATGAAATCATAACATTTATATTTGAATAAAACAATTTTTGTTAGTTACACCATTTATAACTCAAGAACAGCTGGACAGATTTTGATTGTCTATGGTTTCTTAGATTTGTTTACGTTCCAAATAGGAGAATAACTATTAAAATAACAAAAATTATTATTCAAAGGGTGTTTAATAAGGGATGAAAGTTGGTATATGGATTTAATCATAGTTATAGTTAAATAGTTGCATCCGAGATGGCGCTAAAGTCCGTTATTCCTTATTCTTAATTCTGCAAAAAATTGCGAATTGTATTGATGCAATTGACACGCAGTAATTCTTGAATAACAAATAAAAATTAATTAAGATTTTTAGGTGTTTTTCACATTTTCAAAGAAACCGAAATAAAAATCGGTATTTTTTTGCTTCATTGTTATAAATTTAGAAATTTCTAAGAACTGACTTCCCTGTAAAACGATCCGAAACACAAAAACATCGTCATCTTTTTATAACAATACGAAAGTCGTCTTGTCATCACCACAACTCAATTTCAACTGTTCCCGGAATCTTCTCATGCTGAAACGTTACAACAAACGCCTTCACACGTTGTAACATTCCCAGTCAGATTATTTCGCCCACACGCGCTTGAAACAAAGTACGAAGCTGATGTCTTCCGACCGCGGATTTTTTCCTCCACGTAAGTGCGAGAAACAAAAAAGAACTCGGCTGTGAAAACAAGTGAGACACGAGTTCTGCTCTGGAATGAGACATGAGAAAAATTTCAACGTGAAACTTTTAAATTGATATAAATGAAAGGCGTTTTCTTATCATCGTCAAAGATAACAGTGAGTGACTTGAAATATTTCATATATTTTAGATGAAGATTAACCTTTTAATTTTTCTTTTGTATTCGTTTTTTTTTTTCGTAAGGTTTTTTATCCTTTAGGTCGTTTAATTTAAGTCTTGAAGAGTGCTTTTAATTATATTCATTTCTACAGTTTTTCATCGTTTCTCATCCGATTAGTCATTTTTCATGGTTAGCGAACGTTGGATGAAGTCGTAATGGCGTTTTATTTTATTTTATTCTTCTTTTGTTGCTCATTACCATCGATAAATCAAATTAACTGCGACCCAAAGCAATTTTCTGCTTTTGGGAAATACAAATTTTAATTAAGTTTACGGTGAAAGATATATTTTCATTTATTTTTAGATAATTTCTTTTTAAATAATAATTATCAAGAAACCTTGAGCTTCAATTTCAAAAATTACTACAAAAATAAAATAAAATCTAAAAAAAATAATTTTATGTCTCTAGGTCATTTTTTATTCTCCTACTTTTTCTTTTATAACTTTATTTCTTGTTTCAATCGTTACTTCCTTTTTTCTAGCTTTCTGAGCTTTCCAGCGGCCATAGTAGCTCGTATTTCACTTTTATTGCAACTTTATATCAATGTAAGAAAATGGGGCGCCGCAGGACGCCGCTGTAATGTGCATATAATTTCGTTCGGACGCAGAATCCTTCCAAGCACGACAAGCAAAACCATCCAAGTTTCTCTTGGTTGCCGCACGCGTTGAAAATCTATTTCTTACGCATTCCGTATGGAATGACGGGCGGAAATCTAACAGATATTGCGAATGGTACGAATGTTGAAAAGTGAAAGAAGCTACTTGAGGTCTTGGTAACATACAGACATGGTGTATGTTATCCTCTCGAGGAATAAACCAATGAGAAAATTGAAACGAATAAAACTCGAATAAATATGGATAACTTTTTATGTACATATTTTGATTTGTTGTTATTTAAATATTTTTGAAATGCAAGTATTTTAAAAACGGAAAAAAATGACATCTATGTATATAAAACGAAGTCGAGTTAGTTAAAACGTGTATAACTCAAGAACGGATGGACAGATTTTGATAATCTATGATTTGTTCGATTCATCTTCGTTTGTAATAGCAGAATAATTGTTAAAATAGCTCAATAATTGAATGGAGTTAATGTGCATTTTTAACATTTCTCACTTCTTTTAACTAAAATTGAAAATTTAATGAGTGGATTTTCTTTTTTTAGGCAATTTATTGTTAAATACAGTAAGAATAAACTAAAAATTACAATTTTACAAAAATTTTAAAATTGAACAATTAAATTGTGGGTCAAAAATCAATTATTTGTAAATTTATTTTCCATTAAAATAGTCTTTATTTAAGGTTATGTTAATTTAGCTTATGTTAGGTCATCCCAATTTTCTAAAATGATTTTGTAAATGTTGATCATTTGTTCGCCAAATTAATTGCCCACTTCCTCGTCTACTGATTGGTTCCTTGCTGCAACGTCTGCAATTACGCAGCTGAGCAATGGTTGGAATAGTCAACCACTATTTCTATTACAGCTGCATTCAGCATTCAGCATTCAGTGTTCGCCATTACAACTGCACAATGAACACTAACATCGCCTCATATTATTCTCAATTATTGGCCGCACTTAGCCCTCGGATTGTTTGCACGCAATCGAGTCCTTTTGACATTTCTCGCTTCTCTTCTTCGCCCTTTCTTGTTTTCTTGTGCATTGTCATCGCACTCTTGGCAAGCAGAAACGCGCATCCAGTGAATCGTGCCTGGATTCGGCTTTGTTCTTCTTGGCGCAAGAAACAAGCTTCTTTCCTAGCGCAATTAATCTGCTGTGTGCTCATTTGGAGCAGTGATTGCTTCTCAACTACGAACTAGGAACTAACGTCCGACCAAAAGTTCTAGAACCGTAGTTATTATTAATTTCTGTGTACTAAAATTTACTGTCGGTGAAACATTTGGTCGGACACTTTTATATATTACATTCTTTGCTAGGAAATGCTTAAACTGTATGCAAATACGAGTACTGCGTTATTAATTTATGAAATTTACATCGTCAGCGTTTCATAATAGAAGAGTGCAGAGTTAAAATTAATCTGCGAGCATATTGAAAACGTCTGAAATGTTTAGTTTTGATTTGTTTGCAAGTTTATAATAAGTCAACTGAACAACATAGTCTTGTCTGCGCGGAACTAAAGACCTATCATGCACATCACTCAAAAACACATCAGGGAATACGCTGTAAGTTGGTGAATTAATTCGGAAATGCCTAGTTTTGGTAAACAATAACGTCAAAATCAACATTCAACAAAGAATCTAAAAGTTAATTGTTTCTAAAGTGTTTAAAATTTATCTAGCGTCAAAAACATTTTACCTACTTAATATGGAAGAAAATATTTTGATTTCTTGAACTTAATTTACTTCTCTGACTTTACATTATATAAATTATTTTACTAAATTCTGGTATAGAATAATTTTCTACAGTCGTGTGTTAAGTAGCCAATTATCCTTAAATAACAATGATTTTAAAATTAAAATATCCTCAAAATATTTTTGTTTATTTAGCATACAAAAACATAACATAACCCTTGCCCACGCTAAACTAACTAAAACTGGCATTTTACATATTTATATAGAATTGTGTTAGTTAAATCATTTATAACTCAAGATCGACTGGATAGATTTTGATCATTTATGATTTTTATGATTTGTCTTGACCTCAAATAGCAGAATAATTATTCAATTGGCAAAAATTGTGATGTACAGGGTGTTAAATTAAAGATAAAAATTGGTATGGATATTCAATGGATATGAATTGATGATGGCGTTAATGTGCATTCATATTTTTTTTTAAATAAAATTGCCAATCTTATTGATGCGAATTACTCTAAATAGATCTTAATCAAGAAATAAAAAAATTAATTAAAATTTTACCATAACATAGGAGAAATTGCATGCAAAACCTAATTTATTTTATAAAATATCCTTTCCGCACTACCAAAATTGAAATAACATATTAAAACACTAATTTTGCAAACTTTTTCAACCAAATGATTATATTTAGCACATGGACATCAAAAATTAATTAACTTAATAAATACACATTCATTATCTTGATTCCTACTCATGGTAGTTGCATAATGGCTTCGTCCCATGACATTCATGGCAGTTCGCACGTAAATTACTCCGCTGCTTAATTTTAGCCATGTGATGCGTCGACGTCATTGGCGCTAGTCATATGAGCATAACTCACAAAGGACCTCCAGCATTACGGTGGTGGTAGCAGGGCGCGATGTTACTGCATCGTGGGAGCGTGGTAATCCGACAACATGTTATTGTTCTCACCGTTCACCCCCGACACATGCTCCACTGCTTGCGAACAACATTTACCTGGGAAGTTACAGCATGAATTCAGTTCTCATATCATCCCGACATGTTCTTATCCATCGCTATTATGTATCTCAAATTTACTCCCACCTGTTATCTTGTATCTCTACTCTGACTAATTACATACATGAAGGAAGCCTGGAAAGTTTTTTTTAGGATTTTGTTTT